GAAGTGTCTTGCATACTAGTTGTTGAGCATTGGGTAAGGTTAGTTATGGTAATGGGAGATCGGGATATTCCCTGGAGCAATTGTTATCCCAGGAACGGTTTTACGATTTGGTTAGAGCCTCGACCTTCGACCAGATCCTTCCAGGGAAAGACATTTTGCCCATCCGCTCCTTCGGGGAGAAAAATAATTGAGAAATATCCGAGAAGTGTACCGACCAGGTCCACTAATTTTTATTGATGGTTTTTGGGCTTCTCATCTCCAGGTTCATCCTGCTTTATTCTCTTTCCTTTTGGTTATTTTATTCTGTCACTCTGGAATTTTTTTTCCTTCATCGGTGGAAAATTCAACACAAAATCCGGGGATTACCCGTGAATTGGATCGTTTAGATAATTTTGAAATGAGTTTCTCCAGGGACCTGGGGCTTTTCCCCGTATCAATAAACCGCAGTTTGATTTCATTTCCCTGTGCCCCGGATAATTACCCTCTGATGTTTCTCCGAATAGCAAACGTTTTCGCGTTAAGTCCATTGGCCATTTCCGCTGTAGATAGAATATTGTTGACGACAGTTGGAACGTGATTGTGGGATGTAGGATACCTCGAAATTTATGAGATAGGAAGGGACGGAATAGAGACGTGAAATTTTTTTTTTCACCTCTGTAGTTTCTAATTTTTACTGAATCTTTCGGAGAATTACCGGACCGCAATAAAATTATTAAATTTCAAGGAAACCTGCGTTTTTAAAATCAGCGGATAAATTTTATACAAGAAACATTAATGATTATTCTTTTTTTCTCATTGCATTTATTATGAATAAATCTCTTTTTGTAAATTGAATTTCCAAGAATTTTCTAATTTTTTAATTAGAATAATTAAATAACAATGATGATAACAAAATTCAAAAACGATATATTTTTTTCGCGTTAATTTTATCACCGATTTCTCAGAAAGAATGAAAAATAAATAGCAAATTGAGAAAAAATTGGCAAAGACATTTCAATGTCTATTTTCTGATTGAATCCATCAATGAAAAAAATTTCAATAGTCCATTTGCTTCGCTCTGGGTGCAAAATGCGGATGTAGTGGTGGGATCGGTTGATTGTGATGGTGAAAATCACAGCAGACGATCGAAGTCTCGAAATGAATATTTATTGGGGTCGCCCTCGGCTTTTTCCTCCGGGTTCATGCACGAGGTTGTCTGCAACGTTTACCCTCGACCATTTCCGGGTATCATGAGCTGTACTTGAGGTGTCATAGCCCCAGGTGAAAGCACCCTCACGTCTACGTTCTTCCAGCTGCACCTTTTTATTTTCTCTTGATTGCTCGAAGGGTTGTTTACTCAGGGATAAATTGCCTGGATCGTTGAAAATTACCGAAAATACCAAATCTAGAGATTCTTGAAAGATGAATTTTTTAGTTTTTGATGGAGTGATCTATTTTGATGGAATTAAAATAGTAATTTAATACAGTATGATGTATTTTCATATAATATCGATTGATATCGATTGATATTCATCATCAATAATTATCAATCGATATCAATCGATATTATATGAAAATAATAATAATAATAATATCGATTGATATTCATCATCAATAATTATCAATCGATATTATTGAAATAATATCGATTGATAATTACTGCAAAAAAAAGAATAGAAAAACCTTTTGAAAGTCACCAGAAAATTTCTGTTTTGAGGTATCAGCTTGAATTTACTTCCGAAATCATTGGAATTGTTTTGCAAATATTTTGCTCGTCTCAATTGAGTTATCTTCAATGGTATCCCACGACGCTAATTAATTCTGAAATGTAAATGCACTGTTTGTATTGCTTTGAAGGCAATATTGTATTTTACAACGGCGTGAAAGACATTTTTATGAGATGTGGGCGACCTGGGACATTCCTAACGACCGAAATTCTCGTTTCACGAAATATTTATGGCGTCCGTTAGACTGTGACACCAGGAACACTTTAAACAGTAGGAATGGATAAATGCTAAGGGGAGACAGTGAATTGTACTTTCGTGATGTCCACGTGCTATCTGGCGCATGATTTATTGTCTCAACGATCGAGCATTTTTTATTTTCGACTGAGAATCGCAAAATTTATCACTTAAAGCTAAGAATGTCTGATGGTGCTTTTTTATTTCTCTTAACGATTATTTCATACCTTTTTCCTCCGTATTTTTTTTTGTCAGCTAAGAGACCTGGGACTCTGAAAAATTTGAATTTGAATCTGAATTTCTCTGGAATATAAGATTTCATTATTTTCATTTCTCTGATTCGAATTCACGATTTCTCTCCATTTTGTAATTTATCTAAAATTTTCCAGGAAATCTCCGATTAATATTTACGGCCCACGTATTTATCCGAAATTTACCGGTAATTGTGAATTAATTCTTGATCGAAACCGATTTACTTTCCATGATAATTGCGAGAATCTCCATTTTTGGTATGATATTGATATAAAACTCCACAGCTGAGTGTTCAGTATACGTACATAACGTAGAAAACTTCTACGATTACGTGTTATGCACATACATAAGATTTTAATCGAAGAACAGAGGTATAAACGGGGGCTTGGCCTTCTGGCATTGCGACACACACGAGCTACCGATTTCTTGGTTTGCGTTTGAACTCACATACGTACACTAAAATGCGAAATCAACGAGCGCACGAACTCAGTTTCGCGGAAATTCCCCTTCGAGCTACTCTACAAATACTACGAAAAATTACACACTTGAACAACACGTGCCGAACAACAGTCACATACGTAACATTTCCGATCATGTACCTCTTTCAATCACTGAATTATCGTAATCGAATTTACCAAATGAAACGTCACGATTCTTCACTGATTGATGAATCACTTGAATTCTTTCCCCATGAGTTCCAGTCTTTTCTCCCATTTTTTTTATCAGTACTATTTCTTAATTCTTTCGATTCGTGGAACTGCTTTTGTTTACCCAATTCCTCAATTGTTTTGCAGCGAACAATTAAAGTGTTGATTCTCACGATTTCTACTTGAGTCGAGTTTAATCACCAGAGAATTTTATTTGTACGGAGATTGTTATCTTTAAAGAGGTATGCTGAATTCATAAAAGTGGAAATAAAGTTGGAGATCAGATTTCTGTGGTTGGGGTTTAAATGGGGAATTGTGTCAAGGATCTTTATATTTTTCATGAGGGAAATATTAGGGCGAGGCGCCCGGAGGTGAATTTATATCAATGAAAAACGAATGTTTAATTGATTAACATTTAATTAATCAAGATTGGTAGACCGATATTCGATTAATCTGGAGACTTTCACAGATTGAATCATTTGATCGGAAGAGATTGACAATTGAAGTCATTACTTTTTCGGCAATAACAAAATTAAAAATTATTAAAATAATTGAATTTGAATTTCTAGGTTTCATAAATATTTAATTATCTTGTAAACATGTGGGTTAAGGTAGGTCAAGACAGATAAAGTCAGTAATAATTTCATGAGCTATAAATATTCCTGAAGTTTCCTCGATTTATCGAGACAACTTGACTCGCGTCAATGACGAAATAGATTAAAATCGTCAGTAATTAACACACACCTGTGCAATAATCCATCGGATTTCGTAGAATAATTCCCCTTTTTCCCAATTTCCCCTCGTCACGATTTTCCCCAATGGAAAAAATCCCCCGCAATGGTAATAAGAATTTAACCACAGCAGCAGTTCCCATAATCCCGCGGTAATGACTTTTTATCCTCCGTCCAAGATGAAATTAAGGATTATGATTATTAAATTTCTGAGAAATACGATGAGCGTCAAGTGATAAATACATTCGCATTTGTGGAAGAAAAAAATGATGGGAGTGAGAAAATAAATAAGGGGCAGCAACAGATTGTAAAGAAACCGAGAGGATAATTACGCTGTTACTGGGATCTGTAAGAGACCTTTGAGGACTTCATGTCAATAGACAAATTCCCAGAATTAATGAAAGAAAGGGAATGGGGGATTCAGGGTTTTAGATGTATGAATTATCGTGAATTGTTACTCTCTCTCCTTTTTCTCCCGTCAATGACAAATTTCTAGGAATTAGTGATGCTGAAACATTTCCGCCTCCACATGCCTATAATTACTATCGTTATTTCTATCATTATTGTTATTCTTCGTAATTACGATGACGTAGTGGCTTCCTACAAAAATTTCATCGTCACGATTAACGGATACAATCCAACACTCGAAATCATTTTATAATTGTTGCAATGAGAGAAAGGTCACTGGCATTCTGCTCCGTTCTCCATCGCAATGGAAATTAAAAAAGAAGGTGTTGAATATCATTACTTGCTCCTTATGACCTTATTTACATGGAAAAAAATCACATCTTTACGATTGTGATTAGCGAGAAATTCCAAGTGATTAGATTTCCCGCTATCGTCATCGATATTTAAAACTGCCTGATATTTGTTTCCATGTACAATTGTTAAGTTGAAGAGCCGAGGGGATCTATTATTGGTAGTAGATTATGATTTATTATTGTTAGGTGAGATAAGTGATTTTGTGGGAATGCGAGAGTTTTCAGAAATCGATTGCTTATCGATACTGTTGATTGTTCGCTGATACTATCGGTTGACTGTTTGCTCAATGTCATTCCTCTCGTAATTGATGATTGTTATTTTCTTATCGGTTATGGTTGTGTTTTGATGAGTCCGTCAGCGAAGTTTCGAGTTCATAAGAGTAAAGGGATCTTCCACGTGAATTTCTGCAAACGTTCTTGTTATTTGTCACGTATTTATCTCTGAAACCAATTATTTTTGGATGGAATGTCAACACGAATAAAAAAAGAAATGATGAAACCACTTCAGCAGCGAAGTCGATTTTTTTACAAGATGAATTTATCACTGAAATAAATTATCTCTTCGTCAGTGAATTGTTTATGGGTTTTCTGCTCTCACCTCCAAACAATTACCAACGAAAAACCTAGAAAGTAGCAATGAACCATCTGTTTTTTTTTCTTTTGTTCCAGGCGGATTCCCCTTGTTATGCAGAGTCACTCAACCAATAAAAAATGCTGACAGCGATGTGTCCAAACTGCCGACACCGCTTCCCGGTACCAGGCTGCTGCAATCCAGGTCCCCAGGATGCCCCTCACCCCACCGATTGCAACAGCTATTATGGAAGCCTTTTAGTTCCACGTGGATACACAGGTGGTGGTTGTTTCATTAATGCACCAACAATAATCCAGGGTCCAGCGATAATCCAATCGACAGGGGGAGATCCAACGAAGCTCGATAATTCAGGTGTCTTCAATCACCAGCTGTGGAGAGGTCGTGACGATTCCCTCCACAGGACCTCTCGATGTCACGCACCTCCTGACGTCCAGATAAATACAACTTGTGACTTAACAGGTGGAACCGTGACGATAACAACCCCTAGTATTCAATCAGGAGGATGTCTTATCCAGTCGACAGAGTCCGGTTACCTGGTGCAATCTCCAACGATAGAGATAAGACCGAAATTATCTGGTGGTGGTTGTGTTGTTCAGAAGAGACTGTCCACAGACTTCACTGGGAATCTCTCCAACTTGAATTATTTTGACGATGCACCTCGGACCTTCGATAAGATGGAGGAGATGATCAGGTCAGCACCCAGTGGTTGTCAGGAGTTGCCAGGTACTAGGAGCAATGAGGAGGGTAAATCGTGCTGCTGCCGTAACTCCTGTTGTGATTCATCCACTTCGACATCAGCCAACTGCACGTCGATAGAGACGAGTGGTGCACGGGGTGCAAGGAGTGCTAGCTCATCTGGGGTACAGATTCAGGTTAATGCAACTGTTCAAATGCCACCCAATGGTGGACAGTGCACTGTTAATATCACAGCTACAACCAGTACTGGAGAGAGCACGAGCTCTGAATCTGGTAGTCCAACGACTGTTCGTGTTAGGAATAATTTCAATGGTGGCGGCCTCATGAACCATGGGGATGACAGCTCAGTACCTGGGGATAATGAGAGGAAGGAGGATGCACCTACGACACCTCTGTCCTGGTTGACGCCGTGTCCCTGGGGATTTGATAATTTTGTGCCTGAGAAGGATGTGGTGAGGCTCCAGGAGATCAAGAGATTGTTGAACACCAGTGGGTGGTATCATGAGGGCTTGAGTTGGCAGCAGAGTGAAAAGTTACTCAAGAATTCAGAGGTGGGTAGGTGGCTTCTCAGGGACAGCTCTGACAGCAGGTATGCTTTCGCTGTCTCAGTTCAGACAACCAGGGGACCAACATCGGTGAGAATTCTTCACTCTTTTGGCAGATTCAGGCTCGATGCTGAACCCACTATTGCTCATGCTATGCCAACATTTGATTGTCCTATTAAAATGCTGGAGTATTATGTACAGTACTCGAAGAAAATTGAGGAGAATCAGAGGCATGTCTGGGTGGATTACAGTGGATTACTGTTCAGTCATATTTATCTCACTCAACCGGTGGTCAAGGAAGTCAGGTCTCTCAGCCATATGGCGAGGTTGGCCATCGATAGAAGTGGATTGAATACCAAGAATCTTCCAGCGCCCATTAGAAATTATATAAATGAGTATCCGTACTCCTTTTAAGAGTCGGAGAGTGGAAACGGATTCAGCAGAGAAGTTGTTTTTGGGGAGAATCTTCGGATTGAAGGGAGATGAAAAAATTTTTGTGAGGAGTTCCCCCTTTTTCATGAAAGAATAGATACTAAAAATATTTAGTGTTTTTGTATCTCTTTCTGAAAAGAGTTGGTTTGATCAGTACAAAAATTTAAATATCTTCATTAGTTTAGAGATTCGATAAAAATTACTGAGTTCGAGCATGAGATTTTACTCTGAAAATTTGATACTTCTGGTTTCTTTTATTTTCTCGAAAATTCTCTGATTTTTTATTTGGGCAGTGGAACAGAGACTAGCAAGGTCGCAGTTAAATGTGTAGATTGAGAGTGAATTGTAGGTTATTGGGAATTTCGGGGAAAAGTTTAAATGGAATGTGTACATTTGCGATTGGTATTTACACGGATACTGAGGATCAGTGAATTGAATTGTGTGAACCAAAGAGAATGGAGAATAAGTGATGAGTATCGATGCCCAGACTTGCGACTTAGTATTATAAATTTGTAAATTCATTTTTTTTTCTTCGTCTTATTTATCAAACTTAGATGTTTCCAATTTAAATTTACTTTTAGTCAATAAAAGCATAATATTTGAGTTTTAGGGGAATTGACGGATGGGAAAATATTCAGGTGGGGCTAACGGTGTTTTAATCGACTAGTCTAGCATGCGGTTCACATAATTTGGATAATTATTACTTGAATTGAAACAATGAGTTGATTGTGGGGTACCTTATACATACCCTAATGAACTGACGTCATCGAGTGCTAAGAGTTAATTTCAGATTCATCATTATCTTATTTCAAAAGTTCGTCAGTTGTTTAGTTGAGATAATTTGTTTAGTCATTTGTGCTAGGAATAACATTTTAATATGAATACACCGTCAAGCGATGGGAAGGGGTGAATTAATTAATGATGATGACTTTCAAAATACTCGGTAAATTAAATGGTTTTTACAGAAATTCATAAGCGAGAAGAACCTCTTCTCCGTTCTTTTTCTAATTCCAATTATTTTCAAGATATTTGTAACAGCAAAAAATAAATTGTCATTCATGAAGAACAGCATGTATTCCTCTTCAACAATTTGCAAAGTAGAATTGATAAGTTTTTGAAACCGGAAGTATAAGGAGTCAGTTCCGTTGATAGATGGTAACATAAAAAAAAATAAACAAAATGTGCGTTTAAAAATGAACGCGTGCCTGAGATTATTGTGAAGATATGCGTCCTCGTATTGTAGATATTAATACTGTTGCAATAACGAGGTCTGACGAATGGGTAAACAATTTAAACAATCTACTACCACCCACGAGGCAGCAAACAGCATTGCAGCGTCTGTCAAACTTATCACTTTCTAAATGGTAAAAGTTATATATTTTCTTCTCGAAATGGAAGTCTGCGTGTATGTGTGTGTGTACGTGTGTAGAATTGTCAATTTAATTTTCCTCGATGAATGTGAATTGAATAACTTTAATGAAATAGCTGCAGACATCTCTATATTAGAGACATTGTATTAATGTATAAACAATTTTCCTATTTTTAATTTAATTGAAAGAATACCACTGAAAATAATAGATAAATGGGTGGCTCATGATTATTTGGAGCGGCTCCATCACTACGAGGGCCTTGAACTGATACTTACTGATAGCCCATTACTGCCATTACAATTTTACGACAACAATTTCAATAATATCGTAACCCGAAGGAATTTTGTAGACCAGAGGAATCGAAATAATTCAGATTTGAAGACTAAATTATTTAGTTATCCTTTTGACCGTTGAGAGTTATTCTCATTTTAATTGATGATGTAAATTATTTTCAATTGCAAAGGGGAAACATGTATTTTATATATCACAAACAATAATGTATAGGAGGAACAAGTTAAATTATTAAAAAACTTATTTATTACAAAAACCGTTTCTGCTATTTTATTTATCAGTTGTATTCCTCTTGATCGAATGGATTTTCCCATTTTTCATGAATTAATTACTTTTCACTTCAATCAATTCAAATTCAAATCTTATTGATATTTGTGACGTCAACGTCTCGATTTTGTTGATTATTCAGGGTCTGCCTCCGTGGAACGTAAATATTCCACACAAAACTGATGTTATGCAATATTCGAGGAACGTCAGGCGATGTTTCTGGTTCTGTTCGATGAAACACGAACACTTGTATTAATACGCCTTCTCTTTAACTCGATGCTGAATGATTGTGATTACATTCCTGGTGGAAATAAACGCCAACTTCTGTGGAGGTCATCATCCGGGAATCGCATTTTTTGTTTTCAAATCATTCTTTTCCATTCATTCGGTAGCGAAATCGTGAATACGTAATGAATGAGAAATTTTTTGTTTTTTCAGTAAGAAAAAATTGTCGTAACGAGTAATTCCGTGAATGGAGAACTACAAACATGTTTTAGAATTTTGCAATAAAGATTAATTAATTGTCGAGATGATTGAGCAATGAATAAGACTTCCTGCTCGTTTTGACATTTCTTTGATTATAATGGTATTTTATTTATTTTATTAAAAATTGTCTTGGTAATCAATTTATGTACAAAAAAAAAATCTACATTCTTCTAAAACCACTCATTATCGCGATGACCCAACCAGGACCCCAAGTTAAAAATGGAATTCACGTCGTTCACATTTCACTGGTTAATTCCCTCGACATCCTAGAATCGTTACATAATTAAAAAAATGTTAACGAGGCAGGAAGTTCATCAGGAAAGGCAATTTCCGTGGATGATACTTCGGTTTAGACAACAGCTGCTGTTAGAAGTACCAGGAATTTCTATGGAAATTGCTTCAAGAGAAATCCGCAGGTATAAATAATAATTCTCAACGTAACTCTCATGAAAACCGATCGTTAGCGGCTATATTCATAAATTAATGGCTGTTATGAATTAAATAATGAGCAAAATATGAATTTTATTGCGAATTAAAGGAAATATCTTCATGCAGTTCGTGACGTGTACTTCCCTCCATTAGATTCCACGAAATCGCTAATTGCAAGTTTTTGTCTTCATTCAGTCCAGAGCAGACGAGTGATTAGATAATTATTGGTGACATGTGATATTAACCCGATCTATATACTGAGCGGACACATGCCTCGTTGATTACTGCTGGCAATACCTCACATTTATGTATTTATTGCATGAGTGTGTGGAGACACGTGCGGGACTCTGATCACATATCTATCGGGGATAACATTAGAAAATTCTCAGAAAATGTAGTTACGTGAGAAACAGTGTCATTCACTAAATTACGTAGTTCAATTGGAAAATATAGACTTATTCAAAGGAACGGAAGTCAATGCAAGAGAGTGATAATTTAAATTAAAGTTAACGTTCTTGGAATATAAAAGATAAACAAATTCTTTTATTTCTTTTACTGAATTCAATAAAGAAGGTTTTAATACTGATAAATGAAGATGAGGGTATGACAAATTAATTGATAAGGACGCGATTGAAGACAATAACCTAAGGGCCAATAACAAAAATTCGTCAAGCACAAAGCTCCAAAATATTTCTTACCTTTCTTCATTAAATCCAATAAATAAGGTACAAATGCCAATAAATTATTACAAAATGCATATTTACAGGAGTCCTAGAATTCATTACAGTGGGTTATTGGATCCAATAGACCCAAGATACTTCGTGAAAGCAGCATAAAGCAGTCCAGCCCTCTGAGCTTCCTCAGCCCTGACTTCCCTGAGATCTCGATCCTTGTTTGCAATTACCTCCTTCAACATCTTCCTCTCCCTCTCTCTCTCCTTAATTTCCTCAGCATGTCCCCTCTGAATTTCACTCATCTGTTCATTAAGTGCTGTTATCTGCTGGGACATCTTCTGCAATTGACAATCCTGGTCCCTGAGTCTGGCCCTCTCCCCCGAGAGCTCCTCCTTCATCCTGGCAGTCTTCTCCCTCTCATTCTCTAGCTCCTCCTTCAGCAAGTTATACCTCCTCTGAGGCTCCACCAACTCAGTCTCCAACGATCCCACTTGCCTCTTCAAACTCGCAACAGTCCTCTGAGCCTCAACAAACTTCTCCTCCACCACAATTTTTTCCTCCTTCAGCTTCTGAAAAGTCTCCTCCAGTCTGACACACTTTCCACTGATACCCTCCATCTCACTGATCCTCAATTTGACAACAGACAAATTATCCTGAACCTCTCTGAGTTCAACTCTGCTCTTTTGCAGCTGCACCTGGCACTCTTCAAGAGCCTCTGTCGTCTCCTTCAATGTCCTCTTCAGGACATTGATCTCAATCTTGTGTCTATTGACTCTCTCCTTCAACTCCCCCTTTATCCTGTGAATCTCAGTCTTATAATTTGATATGACCTCTTCATACTGCTGGGACTTGTTCACGAATTTCTCCCTCAAACCAAAGAGTGCTGCGGAGTTTCTCTGCACATCTCCGTCGTATCTCCTCGCCTGTCCCTCCCACTCCTTGCTTTTCTCTTCAAGTTCTCTCTGCTTATCCTCCAACTGTCTCTGGAGCTTCCTCAAGGTGTCTTCACTTACTCTCTGGCTTTCCCTCATCCCCTCTATCTCCTTCACCTTCTCCTCGTTCACCCCCTCGTTCTTCATCTTCAACTCAGCCATTTCATCCTGCAGCTGCTTCATCAACACTTTCATCGTCCTGATCTCTTCATCTTTCGTAGAAATCTCTTTCATCAAGGTGTTTATCACTGCTGATCGTTCCTGGAGCATTCTATTCAACTCAGTGATCTTCGAAAACATCTCGGTGTCATTTTTTTTCACTGGAACCTCCAGGGGGTAATTCCCTGATTCAGAAGGTCTTGACTGCTCCCCTACAATATTCAAAGAGAGGATTGACTCGGACTCATCCTCAAGGATTTTAGGATCATCATGAGGCTTTTTGAATGGCGTTGACTCCCCCTTCCACCCAGGTATTCTATTTTTTTTTTGTTTAACTTTTTTCTTCTTGAGGATGATGTCCTCCTCGACAGATTCTTCATTAGTGGAAGAGGGGATCTGGTGATTCTCGTGAAGGACGACGAGTTTATGGCCCTGGGCTCTCGAAATATTCGTGAGAGACTGGATCTCTCTGCTCTGATTTTTGAGAGTTAGATCCTCGATGATGGTGAGGATCTCCTCGGGGATGCAGTTCCCTCGGAGGTTCAGCTTTATTATAGTAGAGTTTTCCTTCATGGAGGAGAGGATGGCCTGGCCCCCCTGAGCCCCCAGGTTATTTCTCCCGAGATTGAGAATCTTCAGTGATTTATTTCGTGTGAGGACTTTCGTCAGAGCCTCTGTACACAGCGGAGATATCTGATTGTAACGGAGGTCTAGTTCTTCCAAGCTGTTGTTGCAAGACAAGCCCTCGCAGAATTTGGAGAAGCACTCGGTGTCAGTTCCCAGGCTGTTCCACTCGAGATTCAAGATCCTGAGGGTGTGATTTCGGTGGAATATCTCCCCCAGTTGTGAGACGACTGCACCAGCAATATTATTGCCTTTCAGGTTGAGAGCGGTGAGGGCTGAGCCTTCGGTGAGGGCCTCGAAGATTCTACTGAGACCTTTTGAAATCAGCATGCAGTCACTCAGGTCAACCGAGCGGATCGTTGAAGACGAGGACAACACTCGCCCCAGGATCTCACAGACTGGGAGAACTATTGATTGACAAGGAAGACGAAGAATTCCTGTGAAACTGTAATCGAGAAGTCAATTAATATTTTATTTCAATTTTCATTCCACTTCTGAATTTTTTTAAATAGTTGAAAACTAAAAAATCAATTTGAATTCATTGAAAAATTAAACGACGACGTATTTTTATATATTCGGGTTGAGGTGTCACTTTTGAAAATATAACGAGACTTTCTCAGGGGATGATGTCTAAGATTAAGAAGGGTTGATTTTTGTGAGACTCTAGGGGTTTGTTTTGATATTTATGATGGGGTGTTACGTTCACAGAAACTTACCTTGCGCTTTCCATAGCCTCTAGGATATCCGGTGGAATTGTGATCTTTCGTTTGTGACATAGTTGCTTGAATAATTCATAATCACTGAGCATTTTCATGTGGAGATTGATTTATTTTGTTTTGTGAGTGAAATTGTTGACTTTTTTGGCAGCTTGACGCTTTTGATTTTGACGCTGCGTCCCACATGCAGCGTCAGAATGCAGTTCTTGGAATAACCGCTGGGTGACGCCATCGCGAAATTCCTTTAATGTATTATTACAGTTTTTTTTGTGTGTTTTGGGTCGAGTAAACAATACAGTGTTTTTGGAGTACTATGATTCGTTGATAGATCAGTAACGAATAGTTTTCAGGCACTTGAAAATGTCGTCCTCTAATGTGAGTTGTTATTCGATTGATTTATGAAGAATCAAGAATTTTTGGGAATTCTCTAGGATGCCGTAATTTTTTTCACGTTCACTTCAATATTTCTTCCTACATCATTTTATTTGAATCTTGATATTTGTTTTTACACGCTTTAACCATTTGTTTTAGAACTGATTAAAAATATGTATCTCCTTTTTTTAAATAATTGAATGTAATATTTGTCATGTGAAGGGATGTGATACTCTCCGGGTTCTTCACCTGCCCCCCTACATCACTGATGACAAACGAGACGAGTTATTCAAGAAATATGGAGCAATCCGGACGAAGACAATCAGAAAATCAGATAAGTACTCAGCGACGTTCGTCAAATTTTCCTCGAACGAAGCTGCCACAAAGGCTTTTCTCCAGCTGCATCAACTGGAGGTCAAAGGGCAGCACTTGTCGATTGAATTTGCTAAAAAGTCTATGGAGAGTGGATTTGATGGCGAGGCTGGTTACACTGATGAAATCCATGGAACTGACAACCCAGATACCGCCAATTCCGAACACTTCCAGGCGTTCATTAAAAAATTGAACAGCTGGACGACAGATTACACGTTCACACATCCACCACCACCCAATATATCATATAAATATCCATTACCAACTAGAAATACTCTCATGAGAATTGCTATTCAACTCATTCGAGAACCTGCGTTTTATACTCAAGTGAGTTGATGACTTTATCGATTTATTTATTGCTAAATTATGGATTATGTCTTTAGCGTTGTCTCTAGGTTTTGCATCTCATGAACAAGATGAATCTTCCTCCGCCATTCGAGGAATTGGATGAGGAATTTCCTACGCTGAGGGAAGTTTATGATGTTGAGAATTATCAGGATATTTTTGGGAGATTGAGTACTGAGACTGAAGAAATTGAAGGTAAAACCTATTTCATCTATTTGTTCGTATGGTCAAGGTAATTCTTGAGAATGACTGGATTTCTCTCAATGAAATATTTCCAGAAGAGGAAGAAGAATCAGAAATGGAGTCTGATGAGGAGAAATCGAAGCCAGAGATGATTCCAGCGAAAAGACTTCTTCCTCAATCGAAAAAACGTTTAAAGATTCCAAAATTCGTGAATCCAATGAGCCAGCAAATCCCCACAACTTCAGGGCATAAAGCAATAAGACCGGAGGACGTGTTCGAGTCGATAAAACTCGGGGACGCAAAGAACCTGAAGATCGACTTGAAGAATGCGGAAAAATTGGCGGACTCAGAGAGCAATAAGGTTGATCCTGGTGGTTCGGATGAAATGGAGGATAAAGGTGGCTTTGGTCTGATATATCCACCAGATATCGAGGAAAGAGTGAATGAAGAGGAAAAGAGGGAGTTCATTACTTCCGAAGAATTGGCCGCCAACAGAATATCAGCAAATGGTAATGGATAAACATTGCAGTGATAAAAATTCACAAAAAGCAATTACTCAGCACTTGTTCAAATATTTAAAATATTTATTCTCTCGGCTTTTTATTTTATCGATATTGATACCATACGATATTTATTGATATTTATTAAGATCATTGTTGATATTGATACGATTGATCATTAATATTTTATTGTTTACAGACCAAAGATTACTTCCAGTGTACCAAAATTATCATCCAGGCAAAACTTCATGTAGATTGTACATAAAAAATCTGTCGAAACACGTGGAATTGGACGATCTTCATTACATCTACAAGAGATATGTCCTGCCAGGACTGAATAATTCAGAATCGCAGTAAATATCGTTAGACACTCTAAAGAAATCTGATTTCTTAACTATAATTTATTGATGGAATTGTAATGTTTTTTAACATTCAGGTATGACGTTCGACTGATGCAAGAGGGCAGAATGAAAGGCCAAGCGTTTGTCACATTCCAGAATATGGGACAGGCTCAATTAGCATTGAACGAAACAAACGGTTATATTTTAAAGGATAAACCTATGGTAGTGCAATTTGCTAAAGCAGCGAAGAGTTAACATCTGCGAGTTTAAATTCACACTATTACGAATCATTTGTACATATTTCTATAAATAAATTATTTTCCTCATAACGCCTCGAGGTATCCTTAAATATTTTTTTTTATTTCATAACTCTCCTAATTAAATCGCCATTTAAATTAATCCAAATTATTACAAAAAACCGAGAAATAAACATTTAGAATCCTTGACATCTACCTGAATAGAATTGAATAGAATTGAATAGAATTGAATTCCCCGCCTATTTCACGTAGTACTCTGAACGCCGGAGAATTCTGCGGTTTCACATTATAAAATATTGAGAAAACCCGAGGAATTGTCAATAAAATTTATAACGAAGTAAAGTAGCCTGAGAAAATATTGACAAATTGGAGGTAATAATTGGAGTGCTGATAAAAAAAAGAGTTGACTGACTTGATCAGTGGCAACTTGGCAAGTTATAGCCGCGTCAGCCGGGGTCGGCGCCCGCCTGGCAGATCCGTGGTACCTGAAAAATCCACCCGAGGCGTTGAATTCCTCTCGAGAGTTGTGTCAGGTCGCCGTGTCACCGTGTCGTTGAATCGTTGGTGTTTGAGACATTCACAAACTCCTTCATTTATTCAACAGCTAATAAGTAGCTCCTCGTGTTGTTCAATCGTGCTGGTTCATTCGATTTCAACAAAAGTTGACAGAGAAACTTTTAATTCAGGGGGGAAAGTGGAGTCGACAAGTAGTTTCAAAGTAATTCAATAACATGGACGTAAGCCTTCTGCTTCAGCACATCCAGTACGCTGTACCAGTGGCACTTGTACTGGTCTGTGCTGTTCTTGTATTTGCTTTTGGCTTCAAAAATGCCGAACAACCACCCTTTGCACAGCTATCAGCTGTCTCTGATGCTGATCGCAAACAGGCCAACAAGAAGAGGAGCAAGATCAAGGAGAAGGTAATTGAATTATTTCCTTTACTCGGGAATTTCTGGGCAAGCGAGTTAAGTGGTAATTATTCTGACGATGAGTCTACTGGAATTTGGAACCATATGGAGGCGATCATTATTCACAATTTTCATCAGCTGGAGATCGTACGGATGGTGCTTTCCCCGAGTTGTCATGAGGTCGAGTAATTGCAGGGGATTAATAGTGTCACGAGCCAATGTATTTATTGTTCATTTGTGAAAAAATGTTTTGAGGGGATTTCCCTGGGAGAGTGGAAAAATATGAAAAATTTTGTTCACTTCCTCTTTTGTGTACTTTAGATTTATTTAATGTTTATTTTTTATCTCTCAAGTATTGAGTTGTTCTCTGAACAAAAGAAAAATGCTATCGGGCTATTTGTGTTGGGGATTTTTCGACGGTTCTATTTTCGAAGACACTGAAATTTATCGGGGAAGAATCTGAGATAAAATTCCGGCAAAGGAATCTCTTGCTTTTTATTTTTATAAATCATGCCTTATGAAAATATTTTTTGCCCGCGATCTTACGTTTTTTTTTACTAGACTCGAGAATTGATTCATGCGGAATGCCTGGATGTGGGTATTTGGTGAATAAAACTGATTGAATTATTGCAGCGGGCTACGGGTAATCAGGGAGTGAACGAGAAGGCCAGTCCTGCCAAGAAAGTGTCACCAGTTAAAACTGAGACGAAAAAGGCCGCCAGTAAGAGTGAGGATGTTGACGGTAAATTGAAAGAGAGAAAACAAGAGGAGAACACTCCTGATGTTGTTAATAAGAAAGAGAAGAACCAGGTTAATGCTAAATCTGGAAAGGAGAATAAGGTTGAGCAGACGAAGAATAAGAAGAATCTAAAGAATTTGATTCTTGAGAAGCCAGTTGATTTCGATGAAGGTGAATATTTCAAAAATTACTCATCAATTGTAGAATATTCAGTGAATTAATTTATATTAATTACTCAATTAATTAAATTTTTCATTAATTTTAATCAGGTGATTGGGAGCAAGCGCCGTCCAGAAAAGATAAGAAGAAGAAGAAGGAGGAAGAGACTCCCAAGAAGACTAAGAAATCTAAAAAGTCTGAATTGATAAATGATGCCAAAGATAAGGATCAGGATAAAATTGAGATAAAAGATAAAGTTGCTAAGGAGACGCAGAATAAAGAGTTGAAAGAGAAGAATCAGAAGGAAATTATTTTGGAGCCAGTGAACAACGAGGTCGTTGATGAACCCGAGGTCCCGGAGATAAAGGAGGAGATAAAAAAGGTAATTCTCACTGACGATATTTCATGTTGCATCAAAGTGTTGTTAAATTGATTACATAAACGAACGAATTGGTTATTTTATTTCATATCAGGTTGAGAAGTCTGAGAAAGATGATAAGAAGACTGCCAAATCCAAGAAAGCGAAGAAGATCGCCGACGTGGAGAACAATGCACCAGCTGATGAGAAGAAAACTTTGGAGAAAGTTATAGCGCAGGACGTTGAGGAAGTGAAGAAGATTGAGACTGTCGAGGGGCAGAAGATCAATCAGGCTTCTGAGAAGAAAGCTCCAGTGTTCGATGAATTAGGGGGTAAATTAATCATTCATGTTTTTAAGTATTTTTTAAATGGAATATTTTTAGTATTTTCATGCAATAATTGTAGAAAGAATTTTAAACTCGATTCATGATTAATGAATTTCTTTTCAGACACATGGACAGAAGCAAAACCTCAGAAGAAGAGTAAAAAGAAGGCACGAAAGGACAATTGAAATGCTCCCTCTCAATGGAACCTGAAAAATAAGAGTATTTTCCCAAAAAAATAATCTTAAAACACGAAAAAAAAAAACAAGAGGGATATGAAAGCCAGGGAATGATCAGGAGTCTCCATCCAAGGTGAAAAAATGATGGATTCTACCCAAACGTGGGTAAAAAAAAATAATCGACTCATTTCTCAACGATCGAGTGAGTCTCTTTCACTTTCCATGTACATAAAAACTTGGGTTTAATTTTTCTAAACCCATAGATTCTGTTCTCTAGTAATAACTTGCATAATGTGGGTCGTTCGTCGAGCTATGGATTGTCTCCTCAATCAAAACCGAAAAGCCAATGAATCATTTGATCAATTTGCATATTGAGTGGTTACCGATAATTTATTCCACCCCTTTAGCAGGATCATTGAACTCGGTTGATTAATTCCTGCAGTAATTAATCGATGGAAATACAGATGTGCCAAGAGTGGGCAGTATCGTGTTCGCACGATAATAATCACGCTCAAGAACCAGAGAATTATTATTTATTTTCACCTGATCTAAAGAATAAAAACACTTTGTCATGATTCTCGATCAAAATATATTCTCACAGACAATGATCGATTTTTTGAAGAAACCAATGTCTCTAATGAAACGACAAACTAACTTGGAGAGAGTTATTTCGATCACAGAAACCCGATTGTTTATCTACTAGATTTTACCTATTTTTGGTTCTCACTCAATCTTCATACCGTGAAAAAACGAAACAAAGTGCGGCTTTACACATAAAATAGTGACACTAGTTGTTAAATTAAATATTAAAAATATAAATCATTGTATTTTAGTATGAAAAATAAAAGAATAGTCGATACCCTTATGAGAACTTATGGTGATAGTCTATGATGTGGGTATCGATGCACTATCAATGCATTAGCAGTGGGAGATAATATTTTTTGGGTAGATGTACCATTTATTCGTGGGCTGCTATTATCATATGAATTAATAATATCTCAATGAGAAAATAAGAAATACTGAGTATCAAATTACACGTTGTGTTGAGAATCATTCAATGGAAGAGGCAGCAATGGGTGACTTTAATCATCAATATTTTTAATTTGAGAGAATGAAAGTTTGTTTTCTTTTTTATTTGGACGATATTTTTCCAGGTGTGGGAATATTGACGATTGAAGAAGGCCCATTAGACCTTATTTTACTCGAATGTGAAAAGACAATTCAGTACATGTTATGTGATAGGTGTACCTCGAATATGTTTTCATAAAAAATGATGCATCTCACCCGATGCACTTGAATATCTCCGAAATAACAAAACTTATAAACACTTCATCACTGGTAATACATGTTGATATTATTAAACAGAAAAATTCATTCAGTTTCGTGTTATGGAAATAGTACTTAAGGTATGTCAACAGGTGAAAAATAAATGATCAACTGGAAGCGATGAGAGAATAGAGAACTGATGTGTAATTTGTTGATGTAAAATTTTTCAATTATTTGGAATTAGACTATTTTTATAAATACGAAAAGAGATAACGAGATATTGATATTTCAGATCAACGATATATTTAACAATTCGACGGGGCTACCATTAAATTGGGCCCGAATATGTTGTAAATTGTCGGAGGGAATGGGATAAAGGTAGAACGTCATATTTTGAATAACAACATTTGTAAATAAATTAATGTAATTGGGTAATAAGTGCTGATAATAATGGGTATAATTAATCGTAACGCTGGTACATACTGTGTAATTTGCCAATGAGTCACGGCCTAAATCCGTGATGCTTTTTCTCGGAATGACATGAGAATTTATGTATTTTGCGAATTAGTTTTAAATAAGAGGGATTAATTGCATGGCATGATGACAATTATTGCCAAAATAATTGCATATAGTCGTGATGTATTCGATTTATCAGGACGGGTGATTAATTGAAACAAAAGGTGAAATACTAAGGACGATTATTATATATAATCTAGGGTATATCACATAATTGTTGTTTTAATTCTATGAATATTATATTTGTATATATGATCATTATATATGAATATTATATTTGTGTACAATGCATGGTTTTTTAGTCCTCAATCTAGATGGCTGGGTAGAGGGAGTTCATTATTTCGACTATTTCAATAAAGACTATTGTATATTTTTCCAGCATTTACATATTCGTCCGTTTTATGTACTCGTTTTATTAGGGGATATTTTATTAAAATGAGAGTGTAAGTCCTCCAAGTGATATCGATATATCGTCAAACTGCGGAGCCATTGGAAAATCAAAATTTCGGTTGTAAAATTATTGTATCGTTTATTTTTTTGGGACCATCTGAGGGAATTTTAATCAAATAAAGAGAGAACTTGAGCGATTTCGTTTTTTGGAGAGTTTCTCACATTTCCTTCACCATTTTTCATGAGTATTCCATTTTTTCGATCTGTTTTTGGAGTACGTTCAGGTTATTTTGATTTTTTATAATGATTTTTTAGTGGTTGTCGGTGGTAGTTTGCGATTACAATTACACTCGCAGCTTTGCAATTATTTTATTGAATAAAAAAAAGCGAAATTTTTTGATTTTGATGGGAATGAGTCGTTGACTGCTGGTAATGACAATCCCAGCTAGTGATTTTTCTGAGTTACTTTCTAATACTACCATTGCCATTCGTAGAAAATTACCGTCAACTACTAAAAGAGATCACCAGAAGGTAATGAAGGATACAAAAAAATTATAACAATTTCCTCAGATTATTCAACAAACTAAGAGAAAAAAAAATCACTGATAAAAACAGCTGCACCTAAATAAATAATTTTTCTTTTCACAGGATGAATGTTATTTTCTGCGTTACGAATTTGTTAGTTCATCGTTATATACTAAAAATAATTGCAATATATAATGATTTGCATGTGTATTTTTTGGTCGAGGGTTTGCACCCCTTTATTCATTGAGTGGAATCCACCCTCTTTTACCAGAATTCCCCTTCCATTTCTAGCGGGCTTTTCGCCCCCATTCGAAATTGTTGGGTACCGGATAGAGGTGGGGGTGTCTTTGGTGCCGGCAATCGTTGAGGGGTGCATTTCAACCCCCCAGTGTTGCCGCAAAACGCGCGTACGTCAGACGCCACCGCTTGATGCTTCTCCGTCCGTAGTAAAATATAATCAAGTGTCATTCATACCAAATTCATTAAATATTTGTGCCCCAGGTGTCATCAACTTTGACATCATAACTTGTGATTTTAACACTTATTTATCAATTACAATTGGAGTGTGGTGGAATAATTGGATTCTTTAATTACAAACGCAAGGAGATCGCCGAAACGATATCATGGAAAGCCTTTCGGTGATATGGCACCGAAACTGTGAGTTTCATTATTATTGGTGATTGATATTATTGGTATTATTGGTATTATTATTATTTCCATCGATCGATTATTCATAAATGTGTAATTGATTTTTAATTCATGCGTCGTTGCTGCACCGAGAATTCAATTTCTCTTTAGTCAATGCATGACGTGAGAAAACAAATATCGGATAAATAAAATAGTGTTCGATTATTGATTATTTTTTAAATTGATTCTTCATTTTGGTGAGTAAAAATTTATTTTCTCGGTTTTGATATAGAGGATAGTTGTTTTGGGATTTTTTGTTGATGTGTTCTATAAAAAACAGGTGTTTTCTGGAATGGGTAGATTTACGATTATAGATGGGAGGATTTTTTTTTCCAAATTTTGGGAAGACAAATTTTATTTTGGACAGTTCAAACAACAGTACAAAGAGACCACAGCAAATAGTCGGATGTTTCGAATCACAATTCCCTGTCGAGCCCCTTTTTTACATCGATGATGAATCGTTAGGTATTCAAACTGGAATTGCAATCAACTGCTGATTGAGTTTACATACAGTTTGTATACCCTATAAGAGTAGAATTTGTCAGTGCCAAACATACCATCAAAATGCCAAATGGCATCATGAATATTTATTGATAAATTCCTACTGTTGTGATTTTTTTTCCATAACAATAATATTAATTTGATCGTTTATTTGTACCTCTCCATGAGTTCGAATGGGACGCGTATTTACATTTCAGGCTTTATCGGGTATCGTTATGAGTCGAGTGAATTTACAAAATTTCCCGGCCCATTAAATCACACCATTAATTTCCGATAAAACGACAGAACGAGAATTATTCATTAAAAAAGTACCAGTGAAGAGTGAGTAATTAACTTCCGACGCCGATCGTTCATTCGTGCGAAAAATGAGAAAAAAAATAGCAACTCGACGTGCGCGAAAGGGTGAATGAGCCAGTCTAACCGCTAAAGTCAATACTTATTTTTTCTCTTTTCCGTGTTTATTTTCCTTGTTGTTGATTGTCAGCCCAATTTCGAGGTACCACTGCCTCACCTCATGAATTATTTTATACACTCGTTCGAGACTTCTCATTAATGTCTTTCATTATCTCTCCAGTCGACCAACGAAACGAAACCAGAATAATTCTCAATGAAAACCAAACGGCGAATCGATTCAACTTTTTCACGGTATCCTCAATAAAAATATTTCTAAAGTCTCAGGTATTTCTGTACTTTCCCTTTTTACAAAAATTACCGCTTTTTGAGTTTTTTGACTAATTAATAGGATTAACTCGAAAAAATAGTTTTTCAATTTTATCATTGCATGATCATGACATTTTTGGAGTTTTTAAAGAAAACTATAAAAAATTTGTAATTTTGACTAAAAGGGGGTATCATCAATCTTCAATTTCTCTTTTCTCTCTCAGAAGAATTTTTCCATTAGGATTTACTGCTGATTTTAATCACGAAAATCTCCTCCGAAATTTGTGATGTATCAATTGAATTGAACATCTGCTCCACCATGTAATCCCCGAATTGAATAAAAATGAAAACACTAACTTTTTCAAAATTTCCTCATCACTCGCCGGACTCATCTCTATTTCGAATAATCCCCAGTAGTTGAACCTCAATTACCAAAATCCATTACGTACCCCAAGAATTCTCCACCAAAACCAAATAATAAAAGCGCATCAATTTTTTTCGAGCCCCGGAGTCAACATATTTATTTTACCTCTCGCATTTCGTTGAAATGAGATAACCCAGATATTCGTGTTTCATAAAACCCACATGGGTTTGGATTAAACCCCTGTGATATCTTTTTGACTGTCCAGAAAAAAAAAATCCATCACGAATAACGGGTTTGAATGTGAGATGAAAGACAGAGCGAGTGCAGTGGCAAAGTAAAAATAAAATGTAAAATAAAGTAAATAATGAAAGTTAGGTGGTAAAGTGATGGGGGTATGTAAATACCAGCCTGATATGTACAGAGTTTGGAAATATTGTAGGGTAAGGTTTGCGGTTGTGTTAACATTGCCACAACCAAATATTTGCAGGGAAAACCAGAAGTTTTGGTCTTCTGTTCTCATTTTAGACGTGACTCCTTCGCGCGTGGCAATTCAATCCCTAGATCCGTAATTACAATTAGTACGTAGTAAGTACATAGGTAATTGTGACAGGCCCACCTAAAAAATACCGAATAAGTGCGGCGACGGGAGAAAATTGAATAATTATTTATAAACAATATAATATAAAATCCTCGATGTTCAGTTACAATTGAACATAAAGATTTCAATGAAAAAGATTTACAGAGCACTTGAATGTCTATAATCCCTTGGAAAATAATATTCCTCCAGCGTGAATTCTCTCTGCGTACAATCATACACGAACCCCTCAGGCAAAACCACTATAATAAATGCGAAAAATAAAATAAAATAACATTTTAAAAATAATTCTAGCAAACTTACGATGGGATTGACGTGAAAAAAACATATTTTTACGTTTTCTCATCATTTACTGCCTCAACTTCAAAAAATTATTCCAAAAATATAGAAAAAACACATGAGCCAATAATTAATAATAATAACTGTTAATAATTAATAACTAATAACAAACCACAAAAAGGTTATATTTTTTCACCCCAATTTTCAGTAAAAATTCGTAAAAAAAACGAAAAAAAAACGCGAATTTCGGGTATGAAGACGTGGAAGATCCGCGTCAGTGATAATCGCGAAATTATCACTGGAACAGGTGATTGTCCGAGAAAAAGGAAATTTTTTTTCCGGAGAAAACCTTTCACCTTTTCCCGTAACCCCTCTTCGTGGGCAAAAGTGTAATTAACGGAAACCCTGGAATTTTTATGAACTCAAGCCTCTCTCTCACTTTTTCACCGACAACTTGTGCTTTACCCTTGATTTTCCTCTCTCTTTCTGGCTTACACACCCCTTGAAACCGCTATCGATGCTATTAAATATGTAGCAACCACATTGGGGCGTCATGCAACGCACCATGCTAAAGTATCGATTGGCATTCTCATTTTTCTTTCTAAAACATCGTGTCTTCCCACCAGTCTTATCGCATAAAACAGATATATTTAAATTGTTATTCTACCCTCAGAAAGTATCAATCACACCGGAAAAATTATTAACGGATAAATAAAGGATCCTTTCATGTATAGGATAAATACCCGACAGGCATAAACACCCTGAAAATCTCCATAAATCAAATCGATTAATAAACCCCAGGAAATAATCTCAAATCGATCACGTACCTATTATCAATCGCAATCACTCTTTTTTCTCAATATTGATTGGCATTCTGATAACGACAGTTGACTGATGAATTTACCGTTCCGCATCTCCAAAAATCCGAATGGAAATGAATAGATAAATCACACAGAATCGAGGGGGAAATAGTATTTTGAATAATATCAAACTTTTAATATCAAAAGAACGTCAATCTCTGCGGGAAATATCGATCTCTGACATGAAATGTCGGACACTTGACTTCTGCAAAGGGAACCATGAAAATTTACAACTGCTAAAAGAAATTCGCAAACATTCAATCAAAAGCACGAAATAAAAATAAAATTGAGTAAATACTACTGTAAATATACTGTAAATTCATGCAGCAGCGATCATACACGCACAGAAAAAAAAAGATTGCATCAAAAATATTCATTCCCTTTATGAATATCTTCGTGGAGATCTGAGGGATGGAATAAACATTTACATCTCCTCGGCTCTTGAATTCTTCGGGTTCATTGAGCACAACTGCAAGAGACAGGTTGAAAAAAAAAATTCTGAAAGTGGTGGATGTACTTTAAAAGCACCGGATGTACTTCTCTGTCTCATTGTGCGACATCAGTGACTGCTGTACTTTCCTTTCGCCTCAAAAACTTTTCCAATGGATCAATTGACATCACCAGTTACCCAGTGAGTGCTTCATTTTGCTGAATCTTTTTATCTCAACACTTTTTTCCTCGTGGTTACCTGATGCCTGATTCCTGTTGGAGGTAAAATACACACATGTCAAAATTCTCCTGGTAAATTTTCCTGGGTTTCCTCTAAACTTTTTAAAAATTCATAAACCATTTATGCTTTTTTTTTTTGGTCATCAGATTGACCAAACAATTTGTGATAAAACTAGAAATTTTAGTCCTTGGATAATTTTCACCTCGGATTTATCGGGAATACTCTTGAATTTTTAGCGGTCAATCGCCTGTCAGGAAAAATAAAATTCCAACGACAGTTGATTACCAATCATCAGGATATTGACACTCAATGTTATTTACTAGGAAAAATAAAAAAAATGGAACTTCAAGTTTCACTGGGGATTCGATATTATATTTGCAAAACGAGAGTTCTTTTTGTTTATCTCGATCTTCAGTAAAATTTGACAATTTTATATTTTTCTTACTCTCTCTAGCTTTGAACGCTACTATCTTAAAATAATTTACTAATTAATTTTTGATGAAAATTATAATTAAGATCTATTCTTCAACTTCGTTATCATTACTGTATGCACTCCAAAATGCAAACGTAAATTACAAATGCAGATATATTTATTTGTATTTTTAATTTTTAATTTTATTATTATTATTATTTTATTTTTAATTTTAATTTTAATTTTTTTTATTTGTATTTGTAATTTACATTTACATTTTGGAGTGTGTGCAACTGATTTTTTAATGGTAGAAGCGAAAAAATATTCTCAATGGGATGCAATTGAAATAGAGAAATGACATCTCCAACACTTGAATTTTCGCCGGATAATAGTTGAATGGTGGATATTGTCACTGGCAATGTCCGGAAGCGTTTAATTTTACGCTCGTTCGACTAGTAGTTATACGTCAGAGAGACAGTCATTCCGTCGACGAATACGACTCGACATGCTCCATTGATTTCTTATGGGGGTGCAGAGTAAATGTATATAGGTACTCGATACACACTGGTATATTTCTTGGAGTTCAGCTGTACCGAGAGACAGGCTTTATCCAGAGTTTCGAGTCAATG